AAAAAACCAACAAAATACCCTTGCCGAGTTACACATAATTCACTGCGCGTGGCGCTGTGCGCGCCAATGGATCGCGATGTCGATACTACTACTCCGGGGATTGTATATTTTTCATCAATTCCGACAGAAATGAACGTTTCTATGCTAAAGGAGCATATTAGTGCTTTTGGAAGTATTAATCGAGTTTACTTAATTCCGAAGAAGAGAGTTAACGCTCGTGACAGACCTAAGCGGCAGTACGAAGAGGGTTGGGTTGAGTTCCAGGATAAGAAATCTGCTAAAAAAGCTGCAAGAAGACTTAACTGCACAGAAGTTTTGGGTGGAAAAGTGCGTGTTTTTAGTCTAATTATCCCCTACAGCGCAAACCATGGTATGGGGAGTTGTGGAATGTCCGATATCTACCCAAAGTTTCTTGGGGGGACTTATTTGCAATGGAGAGACAAGACGAAGAAGTACGGCGTATATCAAAGGATAGGGACATCATAATGGCGAAAAAGCAGGCGAGGCTATTTAAGAGTGGCCTGGATTCGTACAAACTGGAGGCCAAATTACGCGTTTCTAGAGGAAAGCGGTATGTTTTTGCTGTCAGTATTTCATTAAAAACTATGACCGGGTATTCTTATGTCCTTATTTTCCATAAAGTTGAGTTGTCTAACCCTTTATTTTAATGGGCGGTGGCATTGTTTGCCATATATTAATCTTCCTTGTGTATTTTGTACTCCGACCTCGGACTATTTGAGGACAATTTTTGATTCAGTAGCATATTGCACAGGCAGGATCTCATCCTATTCCTACGTTTAGAACTATCGATCTGTTCCTTAACTGCTCCATTTCAGGTAATCAACTTAGCTAAATTTTGTCAGCTTATGTGTTCACTCGCTCCCTGATAATTGTGCCTACACTGAATTAAGCCGATTCCGGATGTATGACCTCTGTTTATAAGGCTCTTTCTGCGATGTGTCACGTTGAGCGCTGTTTACGGAAATGAAGCGGAACTGTTTAGTAATTAGGGCGACTGGCGGCAGCGGATCTGGAGAACTCTACCCAGTCTCTTCTCCAGCGCTGGAGATCGAATACCGAAGGTCCAAGAATCGCTCCCATGTCCTGACGAACTGAGTCGAGCCGAGTTTTGAGTTGACCCCCTCTTCGGCGTTTCCAATTAGGTAACCGTTTCAAGTCGAGGGCAGTAGCAGTAAGCTCTTGAGGTTGATGACGAAGAACGTGTCCAAACCACCTCAGTCCTCTTTCCTGAATGGCCTGAGATATCCTTGTGATTTTGTCGCAGCGAGTGCGGACTGTCTCATTTGAGACGA